TTAGCTGGCCTTCATAAAAGGGAGAGATTTTTCTGTTGCTACTCTTTTTCCTCTTCCTAAGATGGTTGGTGAATATTATACTGATAAAATATAGAAAAGCAGTGTGTATTGAAAATTTGGAAAGGCTTCCAAAGGGGGATATCTCATAGGCAGATAATAGAAATTGAAGAGAAAAGTATTGAGATATATATATATATATATATTTTACAGAGAGCAATCCTGCCTTGGCACTGATGGATAAGACAGCTTTAAAAGCCTTTTCTAGCACTATCTATTGTGCAAATATTTCATTGTACACTCCTCAGGGCTACTGCGAAAAAGTTCTAGTGGTTAAACTGAGACTAACCAGTAAACCCCAATTTGTTCCTTAGCCAAGCAGCAGTTGGTTGTAAGCAGAACCTTTGCATAAGGGTTTTTGTTGTTTTGTTTGGTTTTGCCAAGATCTCTGGCTTGCCTTCTTCATTTGTGCAGGTCCACAGATTTCTGTCACAAATAAAATAGCTGAGCTTTTCTAATGAGGCTTAATACACTATTCCTTCTGGCTCCAAAAGTAAATACTTCTTTAATGAAGGTGGAATGGTAAGTAAAGGGACTCCTCTGTGGCATCTTTTGAATAATGTCTGTCGAATAGCACATCTACATAAGTGCATGAGTGACCGTGGTGAGTTGCTGCATACACTGAATAGAGACTTATAGAAATCCCGGTGCCTCTGCAAAGCAAAAAAAAAAATGTGTTTTTGGTCAATAAGTATGTTCATCGTGTGTAATAGTTTGAAGTGGAGATTTGGAAGATTCTTGGGTAAACATTTGCCTGTGAATGAGGAGGCCCAGGAGGTCTTTTCCAGTCATAAGTTTCTTATTCTGACACACCTGGCAAATCTAGAAACAAATCATTTAGAACCTCCTCTTTATTTCTACGAGCAGCCCATTTTAGAACATGCTCAATCTGTTCATCTGGATTAGGTTCTCAAAAGCCTTATCTGTAATCATAACCACTTTTCTTTGTCTGGGCAGATACAAGAGGGATACAAACTTTGTGCTATTAGCTTACCTCAAAGACATCATCAGGTATAGCAGCTTTCCACTTGGACGTTGATCTGATGTGCTCATATGAATTGATGACAACCTCAACAGCCTTTGGGTGGGAATGACAGGCCTGCAACACCTGCAAGAGGGCGAATATACACTGATTACATTTCAGTAGCAGCTACAGGTCCCAGCTGAGATGGTGCCCTATTGCATCAGGTACTGTGCAAAGCCATAATAAAAGACAATCATTGAGAGACAAATAAAGGTGGGAGAAGGAAAGAAAATGGCTGCCCCACATCAGAGCAGATCAGTTCTAGAGTCTGGGAGTTGAAATAACTGTCTCTCAGTGCCCAGTCAACAGCCCTGACTATTGGGCCATATCAGGGTTGGACTCATGGATGGAAATGTGACCAGTGGGGTCCCCCAAGGCTCTGTCCTTGGACC